AAACAACACATGACATGCATACATACGATATCAACACATAAAAATGAGAAAATAGAAAAAATAGAAAAATCCCTCGCTGATCCCTCGCAAATCAGCGAGGGAAATGACAAAAATTCACATTCCCTCGCTGATTTGCGAGGGATCAGCGATGGATTCTGATTTTTGTAATTTCCCTCGCTGATCCCTCGCTGATTTGTGAGGGATCAGCGAGGGAAATTGTAGAAGAAAGTTCCCTCGCAAATTAGCGAGGGATCAGCGAGGGAATTAGTTTTTTCAGAACTTCCCTCGCAGATCCCTCGCTGATCAGCGAGGAATCTGCGAGGGAACATTTCCCTCGCAGATCAGCGAGGGATCAGCGAGGGAATGAGTTTTTTGGAAATTCCCTCGCAGATCAGCGAGGGATCAGCGAGGGAATGTGTTTTTTGTCACTTCCCTCGTTGATCCCTCGCTGATCTGCGAGGGAATTATTCCCTCGCTGATAGTCGTCGCTGATACCTGGTTTTCTAGTAGTGTATTTGATCTTTACGTATTTGCGACCATGGTTTTTGGTGATGGAATCTCTCCAATTAGTCTTTTAACGGAATTTAAACTTCATGTAAGAACAAATTATACTATACAAAAAGTCATAAACCGATGATCGTGAAACAAAAATTAAAATTGTTGGAAATTAGATACAATCAAAGAATAAGTATCATTGAAGTCCAAAGAGATTGTTGTTTACATACTCGTAATACTCTCTTCCCTTAATTCACTTGCATTCTAGAATTTTTAGTGACGACGTATTTAGGAAGAATTTGGGTATTTGAGAGATTGATTGACAACCCTATTCCCTTGGTGTCTTGCACTTGTAGCATTCCATCCTACTTGCGTAATTATGTACCCCACAACCTAGTCTGTTCAAATCCAAAAAGCAGATTGAATTTTAGGTAGCAATATTTCTCACTTAATAGTTGATGTAAACCCAAAAACGAAAACCTTTTTCTTTCGGTTTTAATATTTTGTATACAAGTTTATGCATTATTTTCAAAATGTTACCTATTGCAGATCCAATCACCACTTTTCCATCCTGGAAGAATGTTAAGATCTTGAGTGTAACAACCTCCTGTGGATGTTGTTATCATTGCAGCCGTTGTGTAATCTTTAGGTGTACCACATCTATAACACCCCGTTCGACTAGCATAATTGTGGGCCCCACAATTAAACGTGGAGCAATACCAATCGCCAGCCAACACCTCTGTTCTATTTACGCCATAACATGACATCTCTGAAGGTGTTGCGAATTTGGGACACTGACACTTTTGGCAAGAATCACGTTTCTTGAAATTCAAATGTTGGCATGCACCACACATCCAATCTCCACCACTCATTTTCACTCGCTCTAGGTTTAAAACCTGAAATAATTAACAAAAAAACTTGTCACATTTTATCTCAGGATCAAAAATAAATGAAGCAAGTTTTTGTGTTGCGTTATTTTGCTGGAAAGCTGCTTTTGCAAACATTCTTTTGTTCATAAAAGCTTTAGAAATATTTCATAACAACATTTCTTCACAAAACTAACCTTGAGAAAGATGGGATATGTTGGTTTGTGGTTTTCTTGAATGAACTTGAATGGCTTATATACTTGCCAAAGGATTCCTAGAAGTGGGGTCCTATTTAATCAAGAAATAATGTTTTCCATCTCATAGAACATGTATCATTATATTCGGAAATTAATGTTTGATTATCAAATCTCTTAAATACCCTTCGATGAATAAGAAAATAGGAAGAATTGTGTAAACCATAATCAATATAATAGAAACAAATACGTATTTTTAGATTGAAATTTTCCGAGAAGGAAAAACGTTATAACTAAAGGAGGCATTCAAAATATAAAACGCAAAATCATTTTTCATGTCATAGATAATATTTTTTAATGTCTTCTCGTAATGATTCCAAAACTAAGCAAAAATAATCTAGTAAAGGTACACTACATACATATACGTTCCTAACATTTTACCCGAGAAAAAGTAAGCAAACCAAACAAACTCGATATATCCAATTCGAAATTAAGGTTTGGAGGTCATACGCATACAAACATATCCTTTACCCTAAACCCTAAAAGAAAGAACAATTGTTTTCATAATGTAAAGATTGATGAATGACTCTCTTGTAGCTGCATCACGAATTTGGACTCATAAGACTTTCAATATATTGATTAGAAAAGATGAGGAGTATGATACATCCATCTTTCCCTGTATCTTCAATGCTTTTTGACATGGGTGGGTCCTAGTCCTACTCATGTCGATGAGGATGACATGGACGCCATGTGTGCATATATTGTATCAATACATAGACCTGTGTTGATGACATGGACGCCATGTGTGCATATATTGTATCAATACATAGACCTGTGTTTGTAAGTTTGTACATATATACATTACAATACCCTTGGCAACGACAAGGGCGACACTAAAGTGCTCATCATCATCACGTTTTGACCTCTTCTGTAGAATACGTGATTTGTTTCTACCATGAGTTCACTTAGAAAACATGCGACTATTTTGGCATTCATCACAGAATTGTGACAAATAGCATTATGATATGTATTGTCTAGTTGAGGCTTTTTCTAGGTTTATATAGTTCAGGTTGGATTTGCAGCCTAAAATTTCATTTTCTCTTCCATGTACACGAATAAGTTCCTTATAATGCAACAATGCACAACTAGAGAATTATATTCTCCCTTTCTTTCTATATCTTGTCTTCGATTCTTTTCTGGCAATAATTCAATACCCCACTTCAAATTTATTTCAATGCCCTTTTTGGACAATAATTCAAAATCCCACTTGAAGATTCATCTATTCGACCACTTCTGCCATATACATTGCTTTCTTCATCACTTTATTCATGTGCATATACAACTTAACATCTACATTATGTGCTAAATTGCCTCAAAACACTTCCTTTTATGCAACTAGCATGGTTTATCGATGCAAAAAGCATCATAATTATAAATATTGACCATGCTATACATCTAAGGGGTCGCAAAGGGTATTCTCTACAAATTGCAACAAAGTGGATAACAAGATATATAAATGGTTTCGATATCTCAAACTCCTCCCACAAGAATATTCTTTTGTGACAGATCGATAATATTAGTGATGGATAACGTTTGCCACCATATCATGACACGTCAAGCTTTTGAAGATTCCACAACGCTTGTTTGTCGATTTAGGGTTTGATAAGGAATAATCAATAGCATTTGGTTTCCCTTCTTTCATCAGTTGAGGTGCATCGAATTCAATGGGAAGGTTGGTGCAAATATGTAATTGTCGTTTTTGTCTGAATTCATTTTTTTTTTGTTTTCTTATTTTGATGATCGATAAATCGGTCTGCTTATGCTAACCGGCTTGCATTATTAATTAGTCTCTGTGATTCTGTATATAATTGTGTTTTCAGCATAAAGTAAATGAATTATATTGATCAAATCCATGACATTACTAAAAATGCTACTTTCATTGATTACTAAAAAGGCTACTTTGATTGATAGATATCGTGAAATACCAACAGGTTACTGACGTGACAATGACAAATTTAAAAATAAAAAATTAATGATGAATTTGGCGACAAATAAGGGACCGTCGCTAAACAAGCTATCACAATTACCGAGAGATCGGAACATCTTCAATAGCTTCTTTAAAATAGTGAAAATCAACTTTTATTTCTCTATAATACTCCAATAGTTTCCCTATCTAATTTTTTAAAATAGATTATCATGGAGAAAACTGTTAATATAAAGAATTTTCTAAAATTCTAAAAATATGAGAGAGAGAGAAATGAGTTTTTTATTCATTCCACCAATAAAGGTTGAATCAATATCATTTTATATAAAAATAAGTTAATGGAGATAATAAAAATTATAAAATATTTAAATAATATAATTATTATTAAATTTCTAAAATAGATAATCTGTTAAAGTTGATTGTAATTTATTTTTAAATATTTTAACTTTTAATTTTCTATTTTAGAATAATTATAGATAATCTATTGGTGCTCTCAGACACAACTTAGCGAGGGATATAATTTATGTTAACAAAAAATTAAATTAAATGATTTTATATTTATTTTGAGAAAAAATTGTTAAATGGAGCTAACTTTAACTTGATTCATATTTTTAAGAGCCAAGTTTTAAAACTATCATTTAAAGGTATTTAGCAAACTTTTTATTTATTTAAGTACTCGATTAACGTATGAACCCATTAATGATCACACAACTCAAATAATTTGCTAACTAAGATGTCATATTAAAATTACAAAAATAAATTTAAAGTAAAGGCATGTTACCAATAATCATTATATGGCATAATTACTTTTTTATATGAAAACAGAAAACTCTATCATATTGCACAAGTTATAATTTCATTAATATTAAAATATTTAATTATTGAAAAACCCTAAATGGACAAATTGAAGAAAATGGAGATTTTGAGTCGATATTCTGTTCCAAGAGCATCCTTAAAACTATCTCTAAAATAAAGAAAGTATGAGAGAAGAGTTTTTCATCATCCAAAAATGATTACCAAGTGAAACCACCAATAGAAAACTTTGTAAATAAATATTTAGAAAGAGAAATAAAATTTTAATAGATAAATGAAATAGCAATATTATAATCAATGTTGGTTTCTTCAAAATGGGAATCGATTAAAGTAATTTATTTTTGTGATTTTGATTTTTGTTTCTCCGTTTTGAGGAATCTATTGGTTACCCGCCTCCTCCCATTTCCGCCACCTCACCACCTGCTATTCTTCTTGCTTCATCACCAAAATCAAATCTCACCAAACTCTACTCCCTTAGTTAACAATCTGCATCTCCTTGCTCAGGTAATTGGTGGATGCTCCAACGAGAGAGACTAGAGGTTTCTTGAAGTGTATATTGCCCCTCTCTTACCACTATACTACCGTTGCTCCATCTCATATTGATCTATGAGTTCATCTTCATCTCCTTCTGTTCTAACGTCTTCTTCCCTCTTGTCCCTACATCTTCTTCCTTTACATCATTGTTGTTCCGGAAACTCTGGTAACGACCCCTGCTCTCGGCAGCCCTCTTTCATGTTCCTCTAGACAATATGATTTAGCAAACTGTTAACGGGAAAATAAAAAATTTACTCTAAAATAAGAAATTAAATGAAGCTTAAGTAGAACCCTCCAATGATTTTGTTTAAAATTTGAAATTACACATCAATCTACAGTGGATATGTATGTAATCATGGAAGACTTATTCAATTTTAGTTGTTTAAAGTTTATGTTATTTCTTTGGTACATAATTCAACATTAGGTTACAGATAGGTATCGTCGGAGTACGGGAGGGAAGGAGAATGGTGTAATGTTCGGTTTTAAGTTATGAGTTGATCGGGTTTTGAAGTAAATAGCGAAGAAAAGTTCAGGAGAAAATCTTATAGTCGTTGGAAGTTGAGGGACCAAAGTTGAAAATAAGTAACCTCCTTGTGAGTTAGAAATATTGGTCCAATATAATAATTGGAAATTTGGTGTTCGCATGGGAGGAGGGCTCAACTCCCCCCTCCTCCTTAGAAGTTTATATATATAGTTGAAAAGAAATTTTGGAAAAAGGTTTTTGGTGACTTGATTGAAAAAAAGAAAGAATCAGAAGAATTTTGGTGAGGTCTTGGATAATTTCAGACAAGGTGAGTTTTTAAAAAGCTTTTGTAAAGTACGTGTTATTACGTTACATGTGATTTACTTTGATACACGAAATTACGTGACGTGGTTGGATTCGAAAATTTTTCCGGTGGGGCGTGCTCATCTCCCAAACCTTGGGAGATGAGGGAGCGCTCATCTCCCATGCCTTAGGAGATGAGGGAGTTCTTCGGCCAAGCTTTGACCTATGAGTTTGCTAATCGTTTAAACTGATAATTAACGGACAGATGGCGATAGTTGGCGGGTTTAACTGCGATAGATGGCGGGACAACCACGATAGTTGGCGGGTTTAACCGCGATAGTTGGTGGAATAATCGCGATAGATGGCGGGGCAGCCGTAACAGTTTTAACAGTTGGAATCTGAACTAAATTTATTATGATTTTATGGAAAGTTTTTTATACGAGGGAAATTAGTCACTAGACTTTTCGGTCTAACCCTCAGTTGTTATAAAATGTATTTTTGCAGGTCAACTCAGGTAGGAGAACAAAGGCAAAGGAAAAATGTGACTGGTTGAATTAGTTTTCATTAGAGAAGTTCTTTTCAGATTAGACTTTTGCTAATATGTATGGATGTAACTGATCTGTTTGTATATATTGGAACCTTTTATATGTGATAGAATGGATTTTTGGGGATTTAGTTTTGTTGGGTTGTTACAGTTGGTATCAGAGCCTCGATTTAAGAGATCTAGGTATTTCTCTGGTACTTGGACTTAAACTAGATGTGTTAACTGTATGATAATAGGTTCCACTGGATTTCGAGCATGGGAATGTGTTAAATATAATTAGTAAGTGCGGTAAATTTATATTGCATACGACCAATGTAATCATGAGTTTACAAGTGCTTGTTTGAACTTGAACATCTTATTATATTTAGGTATGTGATTAATTGTATACATGTTTATTGTTGCAATTAAAAGTGATTCTTTAAGATGACAGATAATCCTATACGTTCAGTTAGAAATGTGTTTGTGAATCTCGAGGGAGAGAATCTTGTGTTAGGGAATATTCCTGAGGGAACATCTACAGGCCACAGAAGAGGCCGAGGAAGAGGAATCTTGAATACTGGAATAAATCCAGAAATTGTTGCAATA